TCTCTATTTGGCCTCTGTTCTACTGTACCTGTGCGACAAGCCATCTGTCTTCGACGCCGCTACAACAATGTTCAAGCGAGCAAGGAGCAGGCAAAATGTTGATAGATGAACTGGGACAACCAGTGGCTATGTTCAAGAGCGAACAAGTAACAGGACAAGACCAGTACCATCATTAGAATGTCGTTCTCGGGTGGATAGGGTTCGAGCAAGGTCTACTTAGATTAGCCGAGCTTGTTAGCATTCTTGAAGTATGACCTATGCCTAGATGCTCGAAAGCCACTCCAGGCCATGCGACCTCGGTGACTCCGCCTGCAGGCGAGCTCACTTCTGCATCTCCTTCTTTCCATCACTTCGATTATCTTGCTCTCCTGAATAACTGTTGTCTGCCGAATAACGTATCCTTGCCACTATGGGTGGTTTATACCTAAGGCCATCATCGGAGGAAGCAAGTGAAGGCTTTGGTGAGTCGCTGACGCCGAAATCTGTATGTATTACCAGTATGGAATATCCGATCTGCCTACTAAATGATGTATAAAAATGCGAATATTTATGGATTATATTGTGCAAATTGGATTTAACATAGAGAGAAACGAGGGGATACATCTTGTATACAAGTATTCCGTTGATGTTCCCGCTGATTCTTCAACAGATCCCATAAGGCTGATGTTTCCTCACAAGCCATCAATAATAGTAACATCCCAGTACTTTGATGAAGACATCTTTCACACGCAGAGTGTCCGATTCTGTGTATGAGCAGATAGCAGCGGGATGGCTGTATCAAGTTAAGGATCCCGCGGTCCTCAGTTCTCGAGATATATCTCCCACAGAGGCGACCGTAGAATGCTTCTTTATCACTTCAGAACATACTACGACGGGTCGTTTCTGTAAGGCTTGAAGAAGATTGTGGCTTCATAGGTTTTGTCTGATTATCAGAAGCGTTTGCCTGCTGTCGAGGTTGTTGATCTCCTCGTTGCTTCAGAGGTCTTGCCTGCCATATTAGAAGCGGGTGTTGCAGTAGGTACCAGAGCAGCATGTGGTGTGGTTGCCGAGTAACATTTAATCAGCGCTCAAAGCAAACTGATGTTACCTTTGTGTACCCAGAAAAGGTGCCCGAGCAATTAGTTGAGATCCCCAGGGTCAGACATGGTCACCAAGCATGGCGGAAACCTGGCGAATTTCCACTCATTTTCTTATAGGATCAAAGGGCAACAATGGGCCCTCATCTATTCCTACACACAGGGGACTTCAAAAGTGGATTGTAGTAACTATACCAGATGATGACAGGTCTCTTAATAGAATTCGTCAAATGACTCATGTTCTGCACCCGAATGCCTGCTGCTTTTGGTGATCTGTATGACAGTCATGGAAGGATCAGCAGATGCTGAAAGAACATCGAAAAGGTCGCGGAACAAGAAGGTAGAGCACAATGCATATTTTTGATAATATGATTGATTAACTAGACAGAGATGACACGCGAAATCTCTGATCCTGTGATGTGATATAGTTAAAGCGTCATATCCAAACCAGATGTTCTGAAAAAGAGGGGGCTGGGGGTGGGGTGGGACGATCAGGCGGTGTCGAGTCTGTTGACTATCGCCACGACTCTGTTTGGTTTTAGGTTGATGATGTATGGGTAACTTCCATTGTTGTTTCGTCCCACTTTGTCTTTCTACATACGATCTTGACGGCAGAGCTTCCTCCAAAAGGAATGGAGTTGTTGACCGGCGGAGATGATTGGTATAGACATCAGACCTATATATAGAGCGTTATGCACTCGCAAGTCTGGCACATGGATCGATGTTGCCTGGGTACTTCGGATGGAACGAGCACTGTGACCAAGGTTCTTGGTTGACTGATCATGAACAGTCCAAGTATCTATCTATATTTGTGGATGGAGTATGGAGTTTTGAGTACGGAGCACTCAGTACCCATACAGTGGTAAACACAATGTAGCACTAACAACTACCTATTTTGGTAGTGGGTATAGGCATGTCTCGGCCGATCTTGGCCCCTCAAAGTTTCAACCCTTCAAACTTGAAGTCTGGCCGCATAAAATATCCTGTCACGTGTGGCAGGACCACCAATGGCCAATGACCAATTTCCAGCCAACAGAAAAAGCGCCACAGCTAAATGCTCGAGCCAATGACAGTTTCGAGAAGGAATGGAAGGAACCTTGTGTGGATCTGCAGCAGATGTGTGCTAATCTGCCTTAGGTTGCCAGGTCTCCACTGGACCGCCCGCTAACTTGCCCAAAAGGAGTAATATGATGATGACGGCAGAAGGAAGTGAGGAGGCTGGACTACTCACTTTCCTCCAAAGTGATCCCCATGCTGTCGGTCAGAAGCTATCCTTCCCTAAGATGAAGGACAGCTGGAAAGGTGATAAGAAAAGCCTGTTGCCTAGTCCTTGGTTGTTACTGCTGCTGTGGCAGTGAATTGTTCTTTCCTCTCAATGTATCACCTTGGTCAATAAGAAGACTATTTTGCTTCTTCTTCCACCTTTCTTCCCTTCTCTCTCTTCTGCATACATCCTCCTGCTCGTACTACCTCGTTTCACATACGTACTATCTGGTAGCTTTTGCATTCGCATCTTCTCTGCTGTATTATCAGATCACCTTTTTTTGCTTCTTTTTTCTTGAAATCCAGTCAGTTCTCACATTACCACTGAAGCCTCTCACCATGAGATTGCCTCTCGTTGGTGTGGCCATCGGCCTGCTTGCTTCCTCCGCCATCGTGACAGCTCAGACATACACTGACTGCAACCCACTGCAGAATAGTGAGTTGTACCTTTTGAAAACTAGCGTCCCGTCGGATAATTCTAACATGTCAAAAAGCGTGCCCTCCGGATCCCGCTCTGGGAAGATCAGTCACCTACGACTTCACCAAAGGCGCTTCCTCCGACTTCAAACCAACTGGAAGCCCCACCTATGACAGCAATGGTGTTGGTTTCACCGTGGCCAAGCAAGGTGATGCCCCACTGATCCAGTCCAACTGGTATATGATGTTTGGTCACGTCGAGTTCGTGATCAAGACCGCACCAGGCAAGGGCATTGTCAGTAGTGCAGTTCTGCAGTCTGATGACCTGGATGAGATTGATTGGGAATGGCTCGGAGCAAACAATCTGTATGTGCAGACCAACTACTTCGGTAAAGGAAACACTGGCAGCTACAATCGCGGCGCTGCCCACGACAATGCTGGAAATCAGGATGCTTTCCATACCTACACAATCGACTGGACGACCACGCAGATTGTTTGGCAAATTGATGGCAAGACTGTCCGGGTTCTCACTGCTGAGAGCGCCGGGGATAACTACCCTCAGAGCCCAATGATGGTCAAGGTTGGTGTATGGGCTGGTGGTGATCCCAACAATGCACCAGGCACGATTCGTGAGTGACCATCCCTACTGCTGCGATGATATCCACTGGCGATATATGCTGACACCTCTTAGAATGGGCTGGTGGCCAGACCGACTACAGCGCGGGTCCTTATACCATGTACCTCAAGTCGCTCGTGGCGACTGACTACTCGACGGGTAAATCGTACACTTATAGCGGCAAGAGTGGCTCGTGGCGGTCCATCAACTCCGATGGAGGTCAAATCAATGGTAATAGTGCCGCTGAGTCCATTTCAACTGTCGAGTCTGCCCCTCCTGTGACCGCGACAATTGACAGTGCTCCTATTCCTTTCAGTGGCACGCACCGTGAGACGTCGAGCTTTGTAACCCCGAGTATCTGGCCCTGGGTTCCCAAGCCTACCACTTTGTCGTCCTCTGTCGCGAAGCAGACGACTCTGCCCAGTGGCTGGACCTTTTCCGGATCTCGACAAGTCCAGCCGCCCAGTGCGGCTTCTGTGAGTGAGCATTGCCCTTCATTTGCCTCTGCTGCTTTTTCGATAGAGACATGCTGATGCCTTTCTTTCGTTACGTTCTAGTCTACGCCCCTCTGTACGTCATCTTTGTTGGTTTCGTCGCCGGCTTCATCTTCCCACTCCGGGCCTAAAACCAGTTCCGTCTCTTCGATCCCGAGTAGTTCAAGTGTGACAAAGTCGACCGGACATCTTGCTTCGACAACTACTAATCAGATTATCACTTTTGGCTCGACTCTTCCCTCGTTTTCCGCATCGATTGCACATGTTGCCCCTACCGTTGCCGCGGCCAATGACCTGCTGGAGGCACCCGTCGGAATGGGCGTTTTGTGTGCGCTCCTTGGCGGCCTCCTGGCAATCTTTTGAGTCGAGGCTTTGAAGAAGCAATGCACTCCATCACACTTACGATTGACGGCTACGGACATGAGACGATTGATTAACGAATGCATGACTTACACATGACGACGATTGTATGTTGTATAGACACGGACTCACTGGCTTTGTTTTTCTTTTCCCCCCTTTTTTGCAATTTGGTCTTCTTCTCTCTATCATTCAGGGATGGGAGCGTTTCCTTTCTTCTCTCCAATTGTTGCACAGCGTGGGTCACAACTTCGTTTGCTGGGTGATAGTATTTGCATCGATCTCCTATCCGGATTGGAAGTCCGATCGAGTCCACCACCCATGTTGTTACATTTTGTATTGTTTATTCTCCGGCGAAAAGCGTTTATAGACTAGACAACACCCAATACTAATAAGTGATACGATCATAACTTCCCAAGAGCGGACAACGTCAGCCTAATCGGTTGCTCTGCTGCTCTACAGAAAGATCGACTGGTACTTAACCACAGTTATTTCCTTTGTATATTCCTGGTACGTGCCTCATTTTGAGGTCAGGCCCGCTCATCCTACGGGAGTACATCCCGAAATTAGGTAGACGGACCGCAATTTCCGTTGTGAAGTAGGTATGAACATACTTATTTATTGGGAATGACATCACGTCAAAGGGTCGCTTCCACGAGATTATGACCCTAGGTGGGTGTTGTGTCCGCCAGCACACGGACACAATATCTTGGAACTGTTCTCTCCAAAGCTACCCAACATCGCCCTGACAGTTTACCTGCTTGCATTTCATCCAAAATGAGTTCCCGCGTATTCTTGATCCGTCATGGTGAAACCGAAGGGACCCGGGGGATGGAGCATATCAGCACCACCGACCATAAACTATCCACAGCAGGGGAGAAACAAGTCGAGGTGACTAGGGAGCAGTATGTGGGTGAGGGCAAATTGATCGATCCCAAAAGGGTTTCACGCATGTAAGGCCTCTGCTGCCCACTTTCGCCGCCATCGTACGCGTGAGACCTGGAAGCTGAAGGAGAATTCCAACACTAGATACATCACTCCAAGGAGACGAGATCGTCAGACGTGTGAGATCCTCCGTTTGGGAGTGCACCAACATCAGCACTTCTACGATCGAACCACCAAGCAGACGACAACGACAGCGATCCCTCCTGTTACTGGCGAAATAGCAGAGGCGACGATCCAGATCACTCCCAGTCTCGCTGAGTGGGACTACGGCGAGTACGAAGGGCTGACCTCAGACCAAATTTGTGAGAAACGCAGGCAAAGGGGGCTGGACAAGGACGGTCCTTGGTCAATCTGGGAGTCTGGCTGTCCTGGCGGCGAGTATGTCTTCTTTCTTTCCGCTTATGACATTGCATATGTTGGCAAAGAAAAGGGCTGGAGGCTGACTTGTCTCTTAGAACCCCTCAACAGGTCACCGATCGACTTGACGAGCTGATCGGCGAGATGAGAGAAGTCCTCAAGAGTACTACTGCCTCCTGGCCGGGCGGCCGGATGGTCCCTCATGTCACTGAGGAGCCTCGGGATATCGTTTGTGTTGGGTCTGGTCTGTCGCTGTCTGCCTTGGCTATGCGATGGACCGGGCTGTCTTTGAAGTGTGGGGTGAGACTTCTGTTTGAGACAGCGGGCGTGGCTGTACTCGGGTATTTCTTTGCCTCCTTCTGCAAGCGGGATCAAAGGCTAACGGTAAAAATAGGTTCGAGGATGAGGACTTGAATCAGCCCGCTATCATCCTAGGACGGAGGCCTGTGGCTCGTTAGTTGGTATGCTAGATAAGATGGCACAGTCTTGCTTCCTTAGATCTTATCAACTTGACCATTTAAATAGTTTGTATGCTAGACAAGATGACACGGTCTTGCTTCCTTAGATCTTATTAACTTGACCATTTAAATCATTTGGAGTATGCCTGGTTTCTGGTATATAAAAGCCATCATCTCATTTCTATTCTACAAATCTATTACACATTCAAAGCACCACCGCGGCAAGCAGCCACGGAAGGCCATTTTGGCGATAGAAAATGACTCTTCTCAGCTGCTATGGGGTCGATGTCGCGGCAGACATCTCGACCCTCGAATGTTCGTGGAAGGACATCAACCGCACCATGCTCCTGAGGCGCAATATCCGCCCTGGACTCTGTTCAGGGAGAGTTTCTTTAACTGACGGAGGTCACTCACATGGAAATTTTTGCTTGCATGTCTGGCTCAACCTCCTTGACAGCTTTCCAGGAATTATGGCACCGCTCAATGAGCGAGAGGGTATACCTGCATGGTTCGTGATCAGTCGACGGCTCGGCCTATGCGCAATCAGCAGATCATAGAGAGATGCCATACTCCTGATTCTGAAGCTCCCCATTCGCACCAAGAACGTTCTCCTCCTTCCCCTCGGCCAGCTTATACACCCGGAACCATTCCTTGATTGTATCCAGATACCCTGGCATCACCGACTCGACGTCCCCGATGTCACTCAGCTTGTCCGCCTCGGGATTCTCCAAGTCAACAACAAAGACCTTCCAGTCTGTCTTGTTCTCGTTGATGACGGCCAGCGAACCGAGGACTTTGACTCGTTTGACCTGTGCAGGACGCGGCATTGCGCCGCCCAGTTCGCAGACAGCGAGCGGGTTCCCGTCCGCTGGGAGCCGAGTGAGGGGGTCGTCCATGTCGGGATCTTGGTATGTCTATTCAATTCTCTATCAATCGGTGGTTTCCTCAACTGAAAGCATGGAAGCGAGCGTACCTGAGGCAGCATCCCATAGTTGAAGGGGTACCCTTTATGCGGAAAGATGTTGGGGACGTACTTTAACCGGCCGTCCTGGAGATCCTGCTTGAGGGGATTGAGGTACTCATCTTTTGCGATCTGTTCTCGTCATTTTCATCAATCAATTGTTCAGTGCGTGTTAAAGAACAGTGAGAGAAGACTGACCTCCATCTTCACACTCCACCACCTCGGCACCTCGACGACCATATGCACCATGGGCTCGCGGCCGCTGCTTAGGTACAGCGTCAGGTCATGCCAGGGGGAGAGGAGCTTGTCATGCAGGTTGAAGTAGACGCGATATTCCTTCGTCAGGGGTTTGCCGACAGGGCGGAGGGCGTAGTTTTCCACAAAGTCGGATTTGGTTTCGTAGGTTGGTCTGTTTGATTCTTCTTCAGTCTTGTACGGGGCCATTTTGGAGGCGGTATCTCTTGGGATGTCCTTTTGCAAGATATGAATCTAGATGATGATTACAAGTTAGGGTTATGTGCTATACTAGGTACTTCGTCCGTTGATTAAGGTCCTTTACACCGCTTGATGATTATGAAAGTAGACTACCTTCCTGTAAGGATTATACAAAGGAGAATCATTGTCAGAGTGACGTCTAGAATTGAAAACCTTGAGCCGATGAACAGTAATGACGATGTTGTCGATTGTGTAGATATCTCCATCCCTACCTGCCTTGCTTCATGATGATATGATACCCATCGGACCTGATTTCCGGTCGAATGGACCTACTCGCGAGCACAACGACTCAAAATGAGGTTTACGCGATGTCCCACTACTGTCCAGGAATCCTCGGTAAGTACCATAGTTCTGTTCTCGATTTCACAACACGGATATCCTCGGCTCCATCACCACTTTACCCCAGTGTCCAGGCCTTATAGTCTATACCCCAGACTAAGCTGCCCATGCAGGACGACGGATCAGGTATTTTGGCATGTCAATCAAAAGATACCTACATCTGGAGGAAAAGCACTTGCAGCGGCAGACTGTTGCCGGGTTGGGGTTGATTTCCGTTGCTGAGGCGCGGCATCGCTAGCTCTTACGAGGTGTGATGGTACGGTGCCATTGGGAGTGAGTCTGACAGGGGGTTGATTGGTGATTGACTGCGAGTATGAAGATGCATCTATCACACGATGTCGGTAGTCATCTACTAGAGACTTGATAATAGTGGTATTATTATTATTATTACTATTATTGTTGATGATAATAAATTGCTTGATCCCGGCATGTTCACATGCAATTTGCAATAGAGTCCGTTACACGCCGGGTGTCTCCTGTGCGATGTCTTACGTGACTTATGGCCACGCTCTATGTAACGGGAGCCAGAGGCTAGAAGGCTTGGGTGTTCGAAAAGAATATGACATTTGACATTTTCCATTTCACTGACTGTGTGGAGTACATGAAGCGTTTTTGTATCACACAAGGCCGTAATCATCGTTTCAACATATATGCTAGTCCCAAGAATCATCCAATCGTGTTTTTCCTTCAAAACGTGTCACATAAGCTTGTTAATCATCATGCTACTTCCCGTTATACTTGGCTCTGCGAGTCAATCGACTTCTTCTCCACTGGCTGGATCAGCCGCCGTAGACCGGCGTATGGGGTATTCACTGGGCTATCTGTGCCCGTGTACAGGAACATATCATACATCCATCCGCCGAATGTGCACCCTATGAATGGTGCTACCATGGGGATCTGCGATAGAGTTGTTAGTCCTTCACGCCAACAGTCATCATATTCAATAGAGCCAGAGCATACCCAGAAGTAATAGTTCCCTGCCCTCCAAACATCGGGGCCGTATCCGATCATATAGGAAACCAATCTGGGTCCGAAATCTCGAGCGAGGTTGATGGCATACCCAGTCTCCCACCCAAAACATGCGCCAATGCCAAATATCAAAAAGAAAAGCGCAAGGGGGGTAAGCGGGCCGGCCCCAATATTTCCATCGTCTTTCAGAGCAAATATCATGAACATCAGGATGGAGCTGGCGATAAACTCCGAGAAAAATTGTCCCGTCCTGGTCATGAATTCCGCCGGGTAGGTACAGAAGATACCTGCGGTGGCTGTAGGAGAGTACCCAGGCACTGTCCGAATGTTTGCGCCCCCTTCAAATTGATCGATGGCCGATCTGTAATTTCCGTAGACAATGGCTGCTCCACACATAGCTCCCAGTATTTGCGCAATCGCATAGACGGGGAATTTTCGCCAGGGGAATTTGCGAAAGACACAGTTTGCAAACGTCACTGCAGGATTGATGTGTGCTCCGGAGATGCCACTTGCGTAGACACCCAACATGACTCCGATCCTGAAGAGCCGATTCCGTTAGTGAATGGCCAGAGGAAGGACAGGGCAAACCAAGAGATACTCACCCCCAGCCCCAGGAGATCGATTGATAGTCACCTTTTTGGCCTTTGCTAAGTACGACCTGAGCAACCACGCCATCTCCAAAGAGGATGAGGATCATAGTCCCGAGGAATTCAGAGAATGCATCACGGCAGTAAGTCCGGACCTTGCTCCAACCTGTTTCAGGAAGCATGACCTGAGCCGCCTGGGACTCGAATACAGTATCCAGCATAGAGGCCCCGCCTTTATTACTAGCAGTCATAGTGACAAAAGCACTCTCCTGTATCTCTGCATTATCAAGGACTTGTTTGAGGATAGTCATAGTGAACAGACGGAGACAGCGTTTGAAGACCACAGCACTGGTTGTTAGAGGGTGGGAGAGATATAGAGACGTGAATGCTGAAGCTGTCGGGGTGAGACTTAAAGCAGGAAGGTATAAATATCACAACAAGTGAATAATCTGATCGGAAGGGCCGGCGCTGGTGAGCACGGAAGGGAATGGCAGTGCATCAAGACCTAATACTAGATGGAAAGTACCGTTCACAAGCGGAACTTGCCGTGTGCAATAGGCAGTGCTATACATTCAGATTATAGTCCTTGAACCCAAACGTAAAGGCACTGAAATACGTAGTCCCCAGTGTCACTTTGCTCGAGTGGCACATTCAGACCCGCTCATTCTTTCCTGACACGCATGGTCACACCCCCAGTAGGGTTATGCCTTTGCTGGAATATTCGTGCATTGAGCCATAGAAGCCCATCAGCCATGCGCTCAGAAACAGAGTAAGATTTGATTTGCAAAATAGAATGCCCAAGAGATTCTTTGCTGCGCAAAGCGGTATCATACAGCCACGTCATGGTAAGGGCTGTCGTCCTTCGAGGAATATGAGGTCCTCAGTCTGATTGCTCACTTTCGGCCGGGGTTGGGAGGACTGATGGAAGACCAGCCATGAACGACCGAGGCGAAGAACTGCCATTCGTTCGCTCCAGTCGGAGTGACCTACTTTTCAGTCGCATCCTCGAACACAGCATGAGCCTGTTCGACCTATTCGACGTCTCGAACCATTCCATCTTAAGGCATACCAAGTGGTCAGACACTGGTCAGTTTGAGACACCGAAGAGGGGCTTCGGCCCATGCCTGCATAACGTTTGAGGACATCACTCCCAATTTGTCCTTGTGTTACCTCCTGACATGGCCAAGCAGCAACGAGGCGGCAAGGATTGAGGGGTTTTCGCTGAGACTATCGGCTGTCTTGGAGATTGGTCAACTTTTCGGGACAATCGCGCCCATGTCCTTGGTAAGTGGCAATGATTGAGTATCAGTCTGGTCGATTTTCCTTCTCGCAGCCTCCGTGACTCCATGAGCACAGAAAAGCTTGTTGTTGGCGCAACTCTCCTACTTCAAGACTGCCCTGTGTGTTCTGATAAACTGTCTTGCGGCTCGGTCAAGATCGACTCTCCATGCTGCGAGATGTCTCCAGTTGTGCTCCACAAGGTTCTGGAACTTCTGGATGGGACGGCCATCATTCGACTAATCGACTATCCCACTGATGGCAGTCCCCGCAATTCCTCCGGCATGGTTGCTACTGTGGGGGCCGATCACTTCCACTGTAGTTGACTGGGCAATGGCAGCAAACCAAGATAGTCCGGTTTGGCTTCGAAT